TCACAGCTCACAGCAACCTCCAACTCCTGAGCTTAGGCGATTCTCTTGCCTCAGCCTCCCGAGTAGCTGGGACTACAGGCGCCTGCCAGAACGCCAGACTATTTTTTCACTGCAGTTTGGCCGGGGCCGGGTTTGAACCCGCCACCCTTGGTATATGGGGCCAGTGCTGTACCCACTGAGCCACAGGCACCACCTAGCTGGTGCATCTCTTAGTGCAACTGTCCCCCACCTCTCTTGGAGGCTTGGCTGAAAAGGGCAAGGCAACCTCTCACCTGCCCCCACTAGGTTTATGGGAACTCCCCCCTCACCCCCAGGCCTGCTTAGTTATTAACTCAGCCAGGACACGCCAAGACAAACAGGTAAAGGCCAGAGTGGACAAAAGGACAGACATCTGTTGCCTGTGGCTCCAAAGCTCCCTCCCACCCACCACGGACTGGCACTTGGTCCTGGGGGGTGATTCTGTTTCTCTTGGGGACCCCCCTGACACAGGCTGAGCCTCTGTGAGTCTGGGAAACTGAAGGGACTCCAGTGGCTTCCTACATGTCTGACGTCTGCATGGTTCCCTTTTTGTGACCCCATCTGTTTGGTCACTTGAGTTCCTCCCTGCCTCTGTGTTTGTCTACTGGCAGGTATATCCTGGTGACCCCCCGAGTCTTGAGGGTTGGCTCCCTGAGAACATCCACATCCAGGCCCATTCAGACTCCAGGTGGCCTCTCATGAGGGCCCTCAAGGTGAACCACACAGTGTGGGAATTCCCCATGAGGAAGACAGTGGTTGCTAGGAGTCAGCTCATTCTCTCACCAGGAAACAACTTTATGGGCAGGCAGCTGTGATGGTGGGTAACAGTCCAGGATGGGTGGGGAGCCACTGAGGAAAGCTCTGAGGGTCAGCAGTAGAAGGTGGCAGGCTGTGAGGGGACTTACTGCGAGGGACGATGGAAAGTGGATTCAGGACCTGAATGTCCTATCCATTTATTTGGGGGGGGTTGTTTGTTTGTTTGTTTCTGAGACAGAGTTTCACTTTGTTCCCCCAGTAGAGTGCAGTGGCATCATACCTCACAGCAACCTCAAACTCTTGGGCTCAAGCGATTCTCTTGCCTCAGCCAGCCTCCTGAGTAGTTGGGACTACAAGCGCTGGCCACAACTCACGGCTATTTTTGGAGACAGGGTCTCACTCTAGCTCAGACTGGATGTCCTGTCCGTTTAGCAGTCAAAAGTTCACTAAACCTGGGTTTCAAGAAACCCTCCATTAGCTCCTATGGCGCTTTTGTGTTAATTATAAAAGGCGCCCCCTGCTGGTAGCATGGGATGCTGAGCATGAACTGGATTGCCGTCCCTCCCTTGGCTGGGTGCCCCTTCGCAGTGAGCAACCTCCACAGCTGCACATGGAGACCTTATTCCCAAAGGCAGAGCCAGAAGTTCTTCACTTAATTGCTCCTCCCAATATCTGGTTCAAGGATTTGTCTCTGTGGAGGCAGACTTCAACAGAGCCTAAGGAGTGTAGACATCTCTCTCCAGGTTCCAGAGAGCCTGATTTACCCCCCACAACCAGGGAAACAATATGTTATCATCTGGGAAACCTGGGAACCCACCTCAGTTTCCTTGTTCATGGAGAAGACGGTGCTGATGGCTCCCCATGCTGGCTACTTCTTCATCCAGACAGACAAGCCCATCTGTACTCCCCAGCACTTGGGTATAGCCTCCTGGGACTTAGCCGGGCATCAATGCTCACCTCTGACTCCCCCCTGAAGTTCAGCATATTCCCATGCCTTAAAATCTTCTCCATCTCCCAAGTACTCCCTCTACCCAAGATCTCAAAGACCACCACCTCCCTCTCCAAACTCTACATTCTTTCTTCCCTCTGTCTGATATTCAGAGTCTTTTTCCCTCCAGTTCAGTACTGGGTGTTCACTGTGAACCACAAAATGGACCCTGTGACCAGGACATTCACTTTTTTTTTTTTTTTTTTGCCCTTCAATCAGCAAACAAATAATAATTGAATTCC